GGCCAACATCTGAGGAGAGCGATAGAGATTTCCTCCCTCCACGGCCCCAGGTGGCCTTGGTGGGTGCAAGCAGAAAATGACATTTTCAAGCCCAGTTCCAACCCAGAGCTGGTTCTTAGACCCAGCTTCGATCAAGGGGGACCAGGGAGGCAGCAGAAGTTCCTGCGAATCCAATGAGAGTGACTGGCAGACACCCCACATCTTTTCTCGCAGACTGAAGGCCACCCCGCAACTCAGGAGCCCTGGTGAGGCGGCTGGGGAAGACCTTCAGCCCTGGGAGAGTCCCTACGGGTGTGAGCAGGTGGGCTGCCCCTTGGGGTGCCACTCATTTCAATGGAAGTTTTTAAAGAAAAGGCGCCGTGACTATGAGCACCCATTTAGGAGCCTGGTGTCACCCTCACACGTACACCTCACTTCCAGGTCAGAAGCGTGGAATGACCATAGCTGCCTTAGGACACATGGGAGGGGGTTAGGGCCTGCTTTGGGGCCTCCGATGGTTGGCCCCGAGGGACCCGCCCACCTATACGCACCTCCCAGGTGATCGCCGGGTGGCGTCTGTCCCCTGGGAGGCTCTCCCTCAGGGGACACCCTTCCCATGCTCCCAGCAATGACTTCCAGGCCTCCCTCAGCACCAACAGGAGCCGTCTTCTCCTTGTTCCCCAGCAGTGTAATTCACCCTAAATAATGGCAGAATGGGCTGTGTGTAGTCTTTAAAAGTCAAACAGTTTTGCACACAACAGGAGCCATTCAGCAGCGGCCAACTCTGCCCTGACCTGCGTTGTTGCTGGGGTCCAAGGCAGCCCTCCGCGCGCATGGGGTAAACTATGCCCCCATGACGACCCAGGGCCTGGGGCCATCCCGTGCAAGAGGGGCGGGACAGAGGACTGCAGTTATGTTTCTGCTAAAAGAAAATCGTAAAAGTCACACACTGCGGGGACCACGCTTATTATGGAGGGAGGGAAAGCGGATGGGCAGGCGCGAAGACTAGAGCACTCGCCCCGCTCAGCAGCGCTGGTCGGGTTTCGGGTTCGGCTTCCTCCGCCCCTTCCTTTCTCTCTGTGCAGCCAGTGACGCGGGCACAGCTCTGGCAGGGGGCTTCCCAGAGCTCACCCGGAGCCCACACTCGGTCAGCCCTGGTGCAGAGGAGGCCGCCCTGGGTAGGCACGGCGGGGTGGGGATGGCGGGTAGCAGGCGTGTGAAGGGCTGGGCAGCGGGTGTGACCACGTGTGTGAAGGGACAGGGCAGAGGGTGTGGCCACACGCTTGACGGGCCGGACAGGGGGCGTGGTCATATGTGAGGGGCTGGGCTGGGGGCGTGACCACACGTGAGGGCCGGACAGGGGGCGTGGCCACACGTGTGCTGGCCCTGCTGTGGGCTTCCTTCCTTTCCTGTGCAGGTGGTGGTGCTTTCTGCACCCTGACTGGGGCCCAGCCAAATAACTGATTCCAGCCAGGAGCCCGGGCAGACGGTGGCACAGGTCTTGCCACTGTCCCCAACCTGGGTTTCAACGCAGCTGAGGCCCAGCATAGTCTTTCTGGGTGCCTCTGGCTGGCTGGGTCTGAAAGGTGGGGTGGGTGGGTGCAGATGGGGCCTCCCCGGGTGCAGCGTGGGCGGCTCTCTGAAGCAGCCTCAGGTCAAGGCTGTGGCAAGCTTGGTGGTGCTGTTGGCTCATGATGTTTGTGGGCCGAGGGTCCTAGGGGCCGGGATTCTGATCCCTGGTGAGAAGTGGGTGGGAGGAAGTTCACACGTGTCCTGAGTGGCCGTTCCTCACATTGAGGTGACATCGCGTCTCCAAACACTTGACGTGGCTGGAAGCAGATGCTGTTGTCCTGTCCCCCCTCTTCTCCGTCCCTGCCTGGGACAGGTGGATCTCACTGCAGGGACAAGCCCTACAGGATCATGGGGTGTCCCCTATTGCTGTGCTGAGGGGCAGGATCCGAGAAATAAAGAGACAGGACACAGACAAAGAAAGCACAGCTGGGCTTGGGGTGGGGGAACGCCATCTATAAGCGGAGACAGGTGAGGCCCTGAACGTCCAGAAGAGTCTGTATTTATTGGGTATAGGTTAGGGGGAGGGTAGTGAGGTCATCTTAAAGATAGTCATAGGGCCAAGACAATCACGTGAGTGATAAGCAAGGGGTCCACCACCATTAGGTCACTGAGGAGCTGGGCGGTGTGCAGTAAGGAGAGTGCAGCGTGCATCATCTCCTATCTGTGGGCAGGCTATTTCTAAGGATATCTGTAGGAGGATGCTTTGAGTCACACAGCAGCGACAGAGCTGACAGAGTCTACCACCTGCTGGCAGCTTCCAGTGATTTCTACCGGAGGATGCTTTGAGCCAGCATGGTAACAACAGAGCTGACAAAATTCACAGCCACCAAGACCAGATTATACCGGAGGGGTTTTAAGCCCTTGGACACTCACAGGATTGCCTGCCAGAGGCTAGCTTTCCACAAGAACTGGATGCAAGGTACTGGAACTCCTTTTCAGGAGGAGTGACTCTTGCTCCAAGCTTACCATACAGCGGGTGTCTTTACCATACCGAATGCTGCTGCCTGGGCTGGACGGCCATGTAGTGTGTGCCCTTTTAGGCAGGGGCACTACCTCGGGGGCCAACGATTCTTGTCCTGGTATAACTGCTTTTCCCTTAAATCATGCTCTGTACCGTGTCTGCTCTAGACATTCCTCCGACTATAAGCAAGATATGCTTATATATGTGTAGCTGTTTATCCCTTAATTCATGCTCTGCGCCATGTCTGCTCTAGACATTCCTTCGACTATAAACTAAGATATAATTATATATATATACATATATAAAAGGAAATAATTGAGTAGTAAGATATTCTTCAGGCACTAATTGTTCCAACTATAAATTAATACAAGGATTGTATAAAGGAAATAACTAAGTAATAACACTATAAACTAAGATATTCTTCAGGCACTAATTATGCCAGGGGTCTGCTTAGCTCTCCTTCCTCAGTGCCCAGATGCAGGGTTACCCACATCTCACCCCCAGCCTCCTCCTTGCCTCTGCCCCCCTGCCTGGGACAGGTGGATCTCACCCCCAGCCTCCTCCTTCTCGCCTCTGTCCCCAGTCAGGCAGGCTCGGCCAGGTCACAGTTGGCAGCAGAACTGAGTGTTTGGTGGATCTCAGTGAGGCGTTTGCATTTCCTTGTGATGGATGGGTTGAACATCCTTTCATGAGTGTATTGACCACTGTGTGCCTTCTTTGTTGAAATATTGTCAGTATTTAGAGTCACAAACCTTCTTCTAAGACTACACTACAATTTTTGTATAATATTTTGATCAATACTTGAACTATGTGCTAATTTTCTTTGGATTTCTTCTTTGACCCATGCTTTATTTAGAAGAATCTCGTTATTTATGTATTGATTTTTTAACCCCCCTATTTGGATCTTGCTGTTACTGATTTAATTCCATTTTGATCAAGGAATAAACTGCAGGAGCTCACTTTTTAAAATTACAGAGACTTATTTCTACTGTTTAACGTAAGCCCTGTCTTTGTAAATGTTCCATGTACACGCAAAAATTACGTGTGTTCTGTGACTGTGGGGTGGGTGTTCTCTGAGTTATGAGGTGAAGCTGGCTGACAGTCTCTTCACGCCCACGAATCTTCCTGGCTCCTGTCTGCTGTGCTCGCAGTCCCGAGAGCCATCACATCGCCAATCAGGACGGCGAATTTCTCCATTCTTTCAGTTCTGCCAGTTTTTACTTCGTATATTTTGAAACTGTTATTGGCTTTTTAGGCATTTAGGATTTTTCTGTCATTGAGACAGAGACTGACCCTGGTGTCATCACAGAACACCCCTCTTTATCTTCAAGGGTGACACCTGGTCTGATGTTAGTGCCCCAGGGTGGCTTCCTTATGCACAGAATTGGCGCTGTGTATCTTTTTCTTATTCTATTCTTTTTTCCTTTTTTTTTTGAGACAAGGTCTCACTCTTGCCCGGGTTGGAATGCAGTGGCCCCATCTCGGCTCACCATAGCCCAAGTGATACTCCCACCTCAGCGTCCAGAGTGGCTGAGACCACAGGTGCGCGCCACCATGCCAGCTAGTTTTTTTTTTTTTTTGGTATTTTTTTTAGGCTGGTTGCCCAGGCTTGTTTCATACTCTTTTTTTTTTTTTTTAGATGGAATTTCACTCTTGTTGCCCAGGCTGGAGTGCAATGGTGCAATCTTGGCTCACTGCAACCTCTGCCTCCTAGGTTCAAACGATTCTCCTGCATCAGCCTCCGGAATAGCTGGAATTACAGGCGCCCACCACCACGCCTGGTGAACTTTTTTATATTTGTAGTGGAGACAGGGTTTCACCACGTTGCTCAGGCTGGTCTTGAACTCCTGACCTCAGGTGATCTGCCCCCCTTGGCCTCCCAAAGTGTTGGGATTACAGATCAAACTCTTAGACTCAAGAGATCCTCCCTCCTCTGCCTCCCATAATGCTGGGACCACATCTGGCCCACTGTGGGTCCGTCTCTCTCCTACAAACACCCAACCTGTCTTTGTGTCTTAAGTGGGTGTCTGTAGCTGGAACTGGGTCTTGGTGACAATCCCTGCTTTGCATGTGGAGTTTTCCGGTAGCCGTTCATAGAATGAGTGATGAGGCCGCTGTAGATCCCCATCTTGCTCTAAGTGTCTTGTCATTTGTGTTTTATTTGTCATGTTTTGTTCCTCTGTTCCTCCAGTCCTGCGTTTTTGGGTGAATTGGAATGTTTTCGTACTTTGTTTTATTCCTCGGTGGGCCTCTGGGTGGTTCCTCTTGTTAGTACGTACTATTTTTAGTAGTTATTCTACAGACAAGAAAACACATCTTTAATTTATCAGCCTGTTCACTTCCCATGAAATGTAGGAGACTTGTAACAGTGTAATTCCTCCAACCCTGCTCTTCCTGCAACTGTTGTCATTATGTTTAACTTCTGCCTACATTACAATCTCCATGACACAAAGTACTTTTACTTTAGACAATCTTTCAAAGAAATTAAGGTTGCCTTTTTAAGAAATTAACTTGTGGGGTCTGCACTGCAGCATTTTCTAAATGAATCTTCTGAGTCTCAGAGCTTGTCTGGAGGAGGAACCGTGGGGACTGATTCTAGACGGGAACCTGAGGCTCCAGCAGCCAAGGACCAGCCCCGGAGCCCCGAGCAGCTCGGCCAGGAGGAGCACCCCCTCCTGCCTTTCCAACCCAGCCGCAGCTATGAAAAAGGAACAGCGCAAGACCCCAAAGTTATATTTAAATGCCAACTGTGTTGAATTTGGCAAAATTTGACAGGAGTTATGGAAAGCCTTTCAAAGATTTGGCAGGACAAAAACAAACCAGCAAGCTAGTATCGTCCTGTGCTTTAAAAGTAAACAGGCTTGAGCAATGATGTTGGTTTTTATTTTTTTTGAGATAGAGTTTCACTCTTGTTGCCCAGGCTGGAGTGCAGTGGTGTGATCTCAGCTCACCGCAACCTCCACCTCCCAGGTTCAAGCCATTCTCCTGCCTCAGCCTCCCAAGTAGGTGGGATTAAAGGCGTGTGCCGCCATGCCCAGCTAGTTTTTTATATTTTTAGTAGAGACGAGGTTTCTCCATGTTGCTCAGGCTAGTCTCAAACTCCCGACCTCAGGTGATCTGCCCACCTCGGCCTCCCAAAGTGCTGGGATTACAGGTGTGAGCCACTGTGCCCGGCCTTGATGTTGGTTTTAGAAATTGACGAGTCTTGCAGGTGGATCATGGGAATGCCTGTAACTACTGGGTGTACAACCAAGGTCCTCTCCTGTCTGTGCCTCATAAAAAGAATGGGCATTCCACTGAAATTCAGCTCCTGGAGGTAAGATTTCAGAAATGCCCTCCGTACCCAGGTGAATTGCAAAGGGGCCAGGTGTGAGGAGGGGCTCCAGGTTCAGGGCCCTGAGGGCTGGTGTCCCTCTCCTCTCCCTGGAAGCCGACCAGCCATACCTCTTCCCCTTGCCCTCTCCCGACCTCCCTGGTTGCCTTCTCTCCCTGTCTCTCTTCTGCACTGGGCACCTTCCAGCCTTGGGAGCTGGGCCCAGCTTTGCCTGAGGATTAACGACAAAGAGAGAGAAGATGTGGCTGGCAGACTGCCCACTGCCCCGTGGCCGGGACTTCTGCCCTTCATGGGAAGGTGACTGTATTGTTGGAGAGTAAGGTGAGCAGGAGGGATGGCTGTTCTGGAAGGTTCTGCAGGGCCAAACTGTGATGAAAATTGCAGCACGAATGTGCTCCTCCATCCCCCAAAAGTCCAGACTGCCACCTCAGTTTATTATAGTGTTGACAGTTATGGTGTCTAAGGATATCATCAGATAAAATCCCTCCTTGGCAGTCTGGGGCTTTGCAAAGATTAGCAAGTGGTTTCTGTTCAGGAACTATCTTTAGGGCTGTTAGTTGCCTCCCTCCCTCCCTGTGAATCCCCAAGTCACCAGCCGTGAGGGTGAGCCTGGTGCTGACCCGCCATCCCAGCCCTGGACGTGCCCTGGCTGTGCTTCTGGTTAGTGCTTTGTTGGGTTACCCATGACTGGCAAAGCTGGGGCTAATTTCCTCGTCTTTGACAACTTGACCAGAGGGTCCAAACAAAACAGAACCTGAACCCCATAAGCATGTACAACTGGGGAGATGGTGTGAGATTTCACAGCAGCCCCAGGTGGCCGAAGCCCCAGCACTTGTGTCTTGAGGACTGATCCCTGTGGCTAGAAAAAAGAGCACGGGAGGCGTGGGGTGCCGGTAGACGCATCAGAGGTGGCCTTGGCTGCAGCTGAGGGTTCTCCACTGTCTGGCTTCCGTGCAGCGTGGTGGCCCCTCTCCCTCCCTCTGGCCTGTCCAGCATGGCTGCAGACTCAGTGGGGCTAGCAAGGCCTGTGCTGAGCCCCAGGAGGTGAATCCCAGCTCCAGCAGCCCTTGTGGCCTTGGGAGATGCTGCTGTTTCTAAACCTGAACTCTTTCAACTGTAAAGATGAGCATATTTAATTTTCTGAGATGTCTTGGGTACTAAGTATGAAATAATTAAAAGAATTTTGGAAAAGCACAAAGCTTTATGCAGTATAAGGCATATCCTGAAGTTGAGACTTATGTACTTATTTTGATTAAAGGTGAAATAAAATTGCATTTAAATCTGCAAAGCGGAGGTGGTCAGGAAGCTGAAGAACTCCCTGAGATATGGCTTGTTGCAAGTTTATGACATCATGGCAAGTGTTTACCATGTGTAAATCTTAAAGACAGGAAGAAAATTTAGCACGGAACATTCAATCCAACTGACTGAACTTTTACTGGGCACCTGTGATGTGCTGGAAAACCCTGGGTCTCTGCCACAGTGTGGCCTTGAGGTGGGTTATTACAGGTCAGGGAAGTGGGGGCCGTTTCCATGATGAAGATCCTGTGAACTCCAGCGCGGATGCTTGGACCCCACGGGCGGTGTGCTTTCTCCATGAGCTTCCAGAAGCTACGCAGGGTCTGGAGCTCCGCGGTTCTCAGGCTGCCGTCTTGTCCTTGGTATGAAACTCAGCGGCCGCCGGGGCCTTGCCTGGGTGCCTCCTCGGGCCCTGCAGCATCTTGTTCCTCCCCTCCAGCTGCTCAGCCCATCCTGCTCGGAGCCTGGGGCAGGCGGTAATTTCGGCATTGTGAGTCAAGCTCTCCGAACGGAGCGACTGCCAAGCCTGCGTCTCTCAGCACCTGGACACCTGTGAGAGCAGGAGGGCAACACTCCCTGTGGGGCTGGGTGTCACCGCGTCCCTGCCCAGTGGCAGCCGTGACCTTGCAGGATTTGGATTACAATGCTAGGGAGCCCAAGGTGGGTGGATCACCTGAGGTGATCCCAGGTTCCCCAGGGCCCTGGGACCTTGTGGCCTGCCTCAGTTTAGGCTGCTGCCCAGCAGTGGGGTGGGGGGGTCTCACACAGGACCCTCCTCACAGGAGAGAAAAACTGTGTGCCCTGGGAGGCAGCCTGGGCCCCCACATCTGGAAGCTTCCAAGCCCCAGAGAGACTGAGCCTGAACTGGAGCTCTTGCAGCCCCGTCTCTGGTCTGCTCACAGAGCGGCAGGCACCCTCCTGCAGGACGAGGCGGTCTCTGTGGTTGCCTGGGACCTGTCTGTGCCCCGCCCGGCCGTCTGCGGGTGCCCACTTCCTTCTCGCCTGCCTGGCTGGCCTCACCTGCTTGGCCGGGCCACAGTGGACGGTGCTGTGTTGTGACCTCAGCCCCACACATGGGGGGACTTGGTGGTGGGAATGGCCTGGTCAAGGTGAGGTTCAGCCTCCCCCAGACCTGGGCAGATCCCCACCTCCCCACGGCTCCTGCTTCATTCAGCCTCAAGTGTGTTTGGCTTTAGCTGTTGGAGAGTGGGGTGGATGCCAGGCTCCAGCCAAGGGTGAGCTGCGTCCATGAGGACACTTGTCCCAGATACCCAGGGCCCAGGTGAGATAGCATTGCTGAGTGGCGGGCAGTGTGGCCCTGATGGCTGGCCCCACGGCAATGGCCCCCGAGCAGCAGCCACGTTCACCCTCACCAGACCACGGCAATGGCCCCCGAGCAGCAGCCAAATTCACCCTCACCAGGCCAGGGCTGTGGGCCCAGGACACCCCATGCGTGAGGGGTCAGCGGGCATCAGCAGCTGCCACTGTCCCACAGACACATGCCCTCAGGCCTGGAGTCCTTGGCCCTCACAGCTGGCTACCCATCCCAGAGAGGCTGCCAGGATAGCCAGGCCTGTGGTGATGGAGCCGACCACCTCTTTCCCTCCACCGGGGACTCTAGGGACCCCAGCCTGGGGGCTGCGAATGGCTGGCCTCCCGCACAGGGCCTGCTCCTCTCTCATGGTGGCTTCCCGGGGTGGGCCTGGCCCAGGGGATCACCCCAGCACACTAGGCTTCACGCAGGAGGAAAGTTAGGCTGCTCTACGGGAGCCCTAAGAGTGACCTCCTTCACAGCAGCAATTGGCCTCGGGGCATGGGCAGAACCGGGCTGTGTGGGTAGATGAAGAGGGTTATGCAAACCGAGGCTCTGCTGGGCTGAGAGACCCCAGTGCCTGCCTTTGCCCCCAACCTCCACCTCAGGTGCCAGAGGAGGAAGCACAGACGCACAATTCTGGGCCAAGCCTACTCCTGGCACCTGCACCCGGGCAATGGCCAGGGGACACCAGGTCACAAGGCACACACATGGCACACGGAGGCACACACAGGAACACGCGGGCACACACAAGCACACACAGGCACACAAAGGCACACGAAGACACATGGAGGCACATGCAGGAACACACAAGCACACGTGGGCACAGGCGGGCACACGGAGGCACACGCAGGCACACACAAGCACATGTGGGCACACAGGCACATGAAGGCACACGGAGTCACATGGAGGAACACGGAGAGACACGCAGAGGCAAGCAGGCCCAAGCCCGGGAAGTGCAGGGCAGGTACTCAGAGTGAGACCTCTCCTTCCCCACCGTCTGCCAGGCACCTGCCAGGTGCTGGGTCTGTGCTGGGTCTGTGCCAGCAGTTGTGTGGCTGGTGAGTGGGGAGGGGCACCCCCAGCTCTGTGGGGCTGCCTCGGACTAAGGAAGGGGCACCATGGCTCCCCGGCTCAGGGCCTGAGCACTGAGGGTTGCCTGAAGTGTCCGGAAGCAGCTGCCGTGTGAAGGTGAGTGTTTGGCAGCAAATGAGGATCAGCAGCACTAGGGTCTCCCCGCCCAGCTGTCCCTGAGCAGTGGCCACACCCTGGGTCGGCTCAGGGTCACCCACTCAGCACCTGGAGACCCCTGGCCTTGGCCCTAGGAGAGAATGGCATGCTGGCTTGGTGTCTGCCTCCTGAACACGTCTGCAAGGAGGAGGAAGAGTGGAAGTACAGACACGTCACTCAAGGGCGGCGATCCTCAGAAAAACAAGCCAGAGAAAGACATTTTCTCCTGGAAAACTTCCTGTGATCCTGGAAGGAGTGTCAGGGAGATGGCAGAGTGAAGAGGGTGTGGGTGCTGGGGTGTGGGTGAAGGGGGTGTGGGTGTTGGGGTGTGGGTGAAGAGGGTGTGGGTGAATTGGCCGTGGGTATTGGGGCATGGGGTCGCTGGGATAGTGTGTTTGATCTGGGCTTCTAGCTACATGGTGTCCTGCCATTTCCCACTTGCTGTTGAGAGTGTGATTGTTAAGGTGAGTCAATGACTGTCAGTTTCCCCCTGGGGTGCGCCCCTTTCGCAGGCTTGGAGCTGAGGCGTTCATGGTGGGTAGAGGCCTAGGGCTGTGTCCCCGCACGGTGCTGGCTGGGCTCTGCCCTGGGTGGCAAATGTGGCTCGGGTACGCGGTCCCCGTTGTGCGGGACACCCCAACTCACTTGTTCAGGGCGCTCCTGCGAACCCTCATGTCCTCGTTCTGCAGGTGTCTTGCGTGATGCTCGATTTTTTTCTCCCAAAACATCTTTATCCCGCCTGCATCGTATGCTACTCTTCCAGGATTCTTCAGAGTGAGGCTTTCACCCACATTCTGGAAACAGAAAATGGAGAAGAGCTCAGACGCCTCGTGCCGCTCCTGTGGAGGAGTCTGTGCTCCAGCACCCGACGGCAGAGGAGCTGGCTCGGCCTGGAGCATCGGGGTCCCCGCCTTCCTGGCATGGGAGGATGGCGGAGGCTGCTCTCAGAATCAGGCCTCAGGTGGCCCCCGGCTGGCTTCATCACGCTCTACCCGCTCCGCCTCCTGGAGCAGTGTCCTGGGTTGGCAGAAGCAGAAACTGAGGACGGATCCCGTTTTGGGCTTTTAGTTGTTTCAGAATCTAAGTCCCGACACACCTCTAACTCTCTGTGTTGGGTGATCTGTGGCCCCACCAGCGAGGCCCGTGTTTCTCAGATGGAGCTGGCTCTGGTGCTGGGTGAGTCCATTGCTTGTTTTTGAGACAGGGTCTCACTCCGGTCTCCCAGACTGCAGTGCCATGGTGCGATCTCAGCTCACTGCAGCCTTGACCTCGAGGGTTCAAGCAGTCCTCCTGCCTCAGCCTCCTGGGTTGCTGGGACTATGGGTGTGCACCACCATGCCTGGCTAAGTTTTGTATATTTTGTAGAGGCGGGGTCTCACTAGCTTGCTCAGGCTGGTCTTGAGCTCCTGGGCTCCAGCGATCCTCTTGCCTCCGCCTCCCGAAGTGCTGGGACTACAGACATGAGCCCACGTGCCTGGCTCAGTGAGCCTCTCTCGACGCCCGGTTATGGGGCACTTTTGGTGTGAAACATGTAAACCCGGCAGTGGGGTTGAACGTGGCAGGTGGCACTGAAAAACAGTTCTGCGATTTGATATGCTAGAGTGAGGCTGACTGAAAATTTTACTGTTCAATTATTTTGGACTTGTGCATCTATGACTCAGAAATTGGGACACCAGCCGTCTTAGAATATCAACCTGCAGCCGTCAGGAATATCCAAGGCCAGGCTCAGAGGCTCACGCCTGTCATCCCAGCACTTTGGGAGGTGGAGGCGGGTGGATCACCTGAGGTCAGGAGATCAAGACCGGCCTGAACAACATGGTGAAGCCCTGTCCCTACTAAAGATACAAAAACTAGCTGGGCATGGTGGCGCATGCCTATAATCCCAGCTACTTACGAGACTGAGTCAGGAGAATCGCTTGAACCCGGGAGGCGGAGGTGGCAGTGAGCTGAGATGGCATCACTGCACTCCAGCCTGGGAGACAGAGCAAGACTCCATCTCAAAAAAAAAGAAAAAAAAATGTCCACGACAAAGGGAAAGTGCCAAGTGCCGACAGCAGCAGTCTTTTCCAGAGCCTTCCTCCTGATTTCACCCAGGGGCGGGAGCCTGCTCTGCTCTGCTCCAGGTCAGTGCTCTCTGGGATGTGTGGAGCCTGCCCTGGCCTGGCCCCATGTCTCTGTGGATGGCCCTGCTCTGTGCTTGAGGATGAGGTTTACACAAGGGATCCAGGGCCACACTTTGGGGGTGAGGCAGCATGTCTCGGAATGAACGAGGCGTCCACAGTCCTGGGCTGCCTGAGCTCCTAAGCCACTGTCCTGAGAGCTCCTCGGGGCCTCTGGGGTGGATGGAGCCATTTCTGCAGCCTGGCTGCTCCCTCAGGGCGCTCTGTTCTTCAGCTTGGCCTTGGAGGCATTTCTCTCCCTAACCCCCACTGTTCCCTCTTGCTGGGGAAGAACACAGGGTGGGAGGAGTGTGGGGAAAACCAGGCAGCTGACACCCATAGGCTCGTTCCCTGCAAACACGTCATCTGCTTCAGGCAGAGAGGGTGAGGGCTCAGCTCAGGCTGCAACGAACAGGGGCTGAGGACTCTTTCGAGGAGCTTGATGTGGCTCCTGGCTGGGGGCTTCCAGCTGTGAGGCGTGGACGCTGCAGCCTGAGTGGCCTGTTGTGATGTGGGCGCTGGGTGCTTTGTTGGGAAGCTGCCCCTGGAGGGCCACAGAAGTTGCCCATCGATGCCTTGCCCTTTGTTCCAGAGCTTAGAAATGCAAAGTCAATCAGGAAGGAACTGAACTCAGCCTTGTCTGCCTGTGCTGAGGATACCGGCAGTGATTTCCATGAGTGCAAACTCAGCCAATGAGGAGGGGGGCTGCATGGAGCCCACCAGCGAGGGCCAGGCCCAGCCGCTTACCCTGGACTTTGCATCTCCTCTGGTGTCTGGGCTGGTGTTGGATTCAAACCGAGTAACAGCTGGAAAACATCTGACAGCTGAGACCTGGCTGTTCTTGGAGGCGCTTCAGAGAGCAGCGTGGGTGTTAGAGCTTTGCTCTCAGGACGCCTAGCCCCAAAGGCAGCCCTTTAAACCCTCATGGCACAAAAACAAAGCAACGGCAAAAGGAAGAACCAGCAAACCAGCAGAGGCAGAGAAAAAGCAGACGTGAAGGTACGTGTTAGGAGGCAGGAGACGGAGACGCTGACCCCCAGAGGCGTTGACGTCAGGAATCCCAGCGGGAAAACAAAATCACAAAGCTCAGTTCCCCTGGTGAAGCACAGGTGGGCTCGGGTATTGTGCCAGGTATCTCCGCGCTTTGCTCACATGAGGGCCCCCAAATGCAGTGCCAATCTCTCAAGCAAGGACAGCACTTGGCACATCACAAAGAGCTTACTTTTCCAAGCATTTCTCAGAGATCCGCGGGTTTTCCTGTCTGTCAGGGTTCTCGGCCTGTCCTCTCCGGGGTGGACGCCTGTGTCTTGTCTGCTGCTCTCTGCTATATGGGTTCGGTGACACCCACGCTTGGCATCGGTTCAGTCCCAGAAAGACGCACCGCCCTCTGGGCACCGTCCCTGGCAGAGCTGTCCGACCGGGGGCAGCTGTTGGCGGCGTGGGAGTCTGGAGGGCGGCTGGCTGCGTATCCTCTGCCCTCAGCTCCCGTCAGGACTGGATTCTTCTTTTGATGGCTGCTCCCAGGAAGCCTCGTGGGTGGGAGGGGCCGGTGCCCAGGCAGGGGCATCGGAGCATCTGGGAGTCCCTGGGTTTGCCCACTTCTGTGTCTCAGGAATGGCAGCCTTTGCACTTAGCGAAGGGGAAATGTGTATGACAAAACAGCGACACAGACACCCTTTAGGCAGGCGCGGAGATGCTTAGGGTCTCTCTGCCCAGCCCATACACAGATTGACTTATTTATTGTGAGGGGCTGGCTCAGGGGTGACCGGCTGAGCGGTCTCTCGGTCTGCCACTGGGGACCCAGGAAAGCCTTCAGTGTCCGCCCGACGCCGAGGGAGGTTGGTGCAAATTCCAGACCTCGGGCCAGAGATGAAGAGATGAGGCGTCCTGGGTCCAGCACGAGGCGGGAAATCGGAGGTCACTCCACCTTCCTCCCCACCGAGCCCGGTCAGGCCGGTGGAGGGCTGGGTGACACCCAGCACTCAGCACTTACCCAGTCCACCAATTCGGAGGCCAGTCTGTCTGTCTGGAAACACCCTCCCAGCCACACTCAGAAACACTGTCCCTCGAAGACCTGGTGCCCTCAGGTCGATGCATAAAGTGAAGCCCCCAGGGTTTGTCCTGGACAGGGCCCCTGTCTCAGGCTCCATCCTTCGAGGCCTTGGGGAGCTGCCAGCAGGGTGAGGGCCAGCCCCCATGTTCTCTTTTCAGAGAAAAGCACAAAGTCACATTTACAAAAAAATTCCAGTGTCACTTATTTCTTTATGATGTTTCCAAGTAATTGATAGTTTTAAGGTGAAAGCTTTTGGGAAATGTTCATTTACTGTCATAAAGCAGAACGCACACTTATTTTTTCTTTTTATTTTTGAGACGGAGTTTTGCTTTTTGCCCAGGCTGGAGTGCACAATCTTGGCTTACTACAACCTCCACCTCCCAGGTTCAAGCGATTCTCCTGCCCCAGCCTCAATCCTGAGTAGCTGGGATTACAGGTGTGCACCACCACGCCCAGATATTGTTTTATTTTTAGTAGAGATGGGGTTTCTCCATGTTGGTCAGGCTGGTCCTGAACTGCTGACCTCCGGTGATCCGCCCACCTCAGCTTCCCAAACTGCTGGGATTACGGGTGTCAGCCACCCCGCCTGCCTTACACTTATTTTTTATATTATCCTTCACAGTTTTTTTTTTTTAACTGGAGTTCTGTGGTGTCATCAGCTGTTTGTGATTTCCTGATCCCTGGAGTATGTTCAGGACACCCTGCTCTGTGGCTCCCAGGGACCTGGGGCTTGGCTTCAGGACCCCCGTGACTTTTCCCAGCACACAGAACACCTGCTGCGAGAAGTGGAAATGCAGCGCTCATGCAGCAGGGGTGGGAGACGCCGGTGAGAACCAGCGGCTGCTTCAGAAAAACCGTTGCAGGGGCCCAGATGGGAGGAAGCACCTAAACTGGAGAAGAATGACCCTGGGAGAGGCGCCTCCAGCCCGTGGTGGCCCCCCCAGGTCTCTGTGCAGGAGCGCGACCTGGACCCCGCACCTGCTCTGGGCTCACGGGAGGAGGGAGCCGAGAAGCTGAAACAACCAACAGTCAAAACACCCCCAGACGACTTCAAAACGCCTGCTTCCAGGCCCCTCATTCTAACGCGTGTTCAGAGGGACCCTCAGGGAGGCCACTGGGCTGACCCTGCCTGGCGGGGCGGCCACGTCGCAGGGAGCGCGTCTGATTTCCACACGATGCATTTGGGAGTTTGTAGGTCAAGTTTGCACCATCTGCATAACCAGAGCCAGAGTGGAGCAGGAACTGGGAGGACACATTTGCCCCTGGCTGAGGCTTTTGCGTCTCTTCTTTCCTGAGCTTCCCCAGTGCAGTTGGCTCCAGAGGACCCGGTGGCACCACTGAGGCTCCGAGTGGACTTTCCTGCACCCCCCACCCGCACCCCAGCAGATGCAGCCGTCCAGGCTGCGGGGTCCAGCTGCTGGGCTCAGCCGCCTTCCAGCCCAGGAGTCCTGCCTGCTGCAACCCCTCCTTCTGCTGCCTCCGAGCCTCCTGTGCCCCGGCCCGTCCCGCACCTGGGCTCTGTGAGTGTGAAGCCGGCGTCCCAACAGTCGCAGCAGCAGCTCATGTGTGATGTCGCCCAGCTCTGTCCTTCCTGCCTCCCGAGAGCCCAGAGTGTAGGGGCCGCTGGACACTGGACCCGAGAACCTGGACCCAGGTGGGGTCTGCTGGGGAGCTGGCAAGTCTGAGCCCCATGTCCCCTTGCCGGCCACTCTGGGGGTTTCTGAAGCACCCTGGCCCTGTGCTCACGGTGGCACGCAGGAGCCACCCTGAGCCCAGCCGTCAGGCCCAGGGCCCTTCCCTGGAATGTGCCATGAAGGTGAACGCTCCGTGACTCACCCAGGGCTCCCAAGGCCGGTGGCAGCCCCTCCCCATGAGGCCTCCTGGCTCCCAGGCGTTGCCCTCCCTTGAGAAGGGGGTGCTGTCTACGGCCTGGGAGGGGGCTGTGATCATATTATAAAGTCATTTTTGAGCTGGGTGCTATTAACCACTAATCAGTGAGCCACAGTCATGGCTTGTTTTGTTAAGACAAATGTTCCTAACCTAAGCTCTCACCCGCGTCCACTGTTAGACGCCTGTGTGGGGGTCTCTGCTTCTTCACAAGGACCCCCCTGACTGCTCGCCAGTGCAAGGGCCGGTCCCAGCTGCACCGGCAGATGGCGGCAGGGGACAAGGACAGCGCGGTGGGCTCTATGCCCAGCTCACGAGAGGATGGCTCCCTTTACAAAACGCCCAAGACCTGTGCCCTCCCTCCCCTGCCTCAGCCCTGCCTCGGACCTCTCTGTGCTTGGAGGGCCCAGGCTTCCTCCTCTTCCTGGAGGAGGCTGAGGGGGGGTCTGCAGGCTCTGTCTCCCCCAGAGCATCCTGGAAGGCCCTGTGCTCCAGGGACACCCGTCTTTGACTCTGTTCTCCTGGGCCGAGAGGCTGAGGCCTCAGGGTGGAGGCTGCACCTTCTCAGCTACACTGTGACCTTTTTCGCTGCCAGGGGCACCTGCTCCCACGCACATCGCCGCCTGGCCCACCTCCAGTCTGAGCCCTCTCTCCCCGCCCCGGATCAGCAGACAAGGCCCTCGGTGCCTGGAGCCATGAGGACAGATGGTGGAGCCCAAGTCCCAGTGTGGGGAGGGGAGG